CAACAGCCTACCCACAGTCCTCATCTCAGGACATCTTGTTTGTAATCTCAGTAGGATTTGAGGCCATTGACCTTGAACTTTTGTTTAGCAGTTCTGTGACATGCTATACTTGCCTACTTTGCATCTTTTCTCCTGAGTGGCTCACTCACTGTCTCATTTGCTCATCCTTTTTTTCCTGACTATTCTAAGTGGCAAAGTCTGGGGTTCAGGTTGGGGGCTTCTCCTTTTCTCTCTCACCTCTCAATCTCCTGGTAATTTCATTGAATCTCCTGGCCCCCTTGATCTATCCATTTGAGTCCCAGACTTCACATGTTCCATATAAATTCCTGATCCCCACTCATCATGACTTCCCATACCTGCTGCCTTGGCTATCTCATGGTTACAACACATCCTTTCCATTACTCAATCTAAACTCTTGGATACATTCTTGACTCCTCTTTCCACCTTCAGAATGTTCAGCCCTTTCTCACTGGCTCTATTACTGACATCCCAGGGTGTGTCAACATCATCTGTCTCTAGTAAGTTGTCTTCTTGCTTCCACCCTTGCCCACCACCATCTGTCCTGCAATAATTGTGCATTTTAATGACAGTAAAAGCCAAAGTCCTTACAGTGGCCCAAAGGCCCACTGTGCCTGCCCCCACCATTTCCCCTCTGTCTCCTTTTGCCTTCCCCTCACTCTCTGCTCCAGCCACACTGATCTTGATGCTCCTGGCATACACCAGGCATACTTCTGCCTTGAGGCTTTTGCACTCTCTGTTCCCTCTGCCAGGAATTTTGTTTATTTATTTATTTTAAACCAGGCAGCTACATTCCTTACTTTCACCTCTTTCAAGACTGCTCAACTATCAGCTTCTCAATGAGGCCTACCCTGACCACCTGATTATAGTTGGCAATCCATTCTACTCCTCATCTGGAAACTCAGCCTCTTACTCTGCTCTACCATTTTTTCATTGCATTTATCATCATCTAACATAGTGTATTTGACTTAATATACTACTTGATTCTCCCTTTGTTAGAATGTAATCACTAAGAAGGTGGGAATCTTACTTTTCCCAACATGCCCAGAACCATGCTTGACACACAGAGGGGCCTTGATATGTAATTGCTGAATAAATGAATACATGTGGCAAGAATGTGGGCTAAGCTATCCCCAGTAGGTATAAAGCCCTGCTGTCCGACTTGTGCCATTTTACACCCTGTACATTCACTTACCAAAGAATTACAGTTTTTAGTTACGGTGTAAGAGCTTTTCTTTCTTTTCCTTGTGAGCTCCTCCAAAGATGAAGATGAATGATCTCAGTTTTACATTTGCTATTGCTAAAAAGATACATAGGTTCATATTTACAGAGCCATTTATTCCAACAGGATACAAATGGAATGTGCATTCTTGCATGTACCCCAGTCAGTACAAGACTAATACTTTCTTTTGGTTTGCATTAAAGAAAATTCTTAAAATTTAGTAACATGGCATGTTGTCAGAGAGCACCTTTTTGAGCTTCAAAATATTTCTAGCATGTTTCTAGTGCTCATGGCTGTGAGATCCCTCCCACTTTCCCCTTCTCTCAGGGACACCCCAGCATGGAAGACAGTGTTACATTCACAAGACTCTTTCATTTCCAAGAGAAGTTCTTAGCAGAGAAGGTTCCTCTTCTGACTCACTCTTTTTTCAAAGAGTGCAGACACATTCAGAGATGTGGTTATATACCCCTTCCCAAGTGTGTGGTGTGGAGGATACACTGTGTTCAGAGCATTTTTACACTGAGGCACAGACTGGAAAGCTGTTGGAATCTGATCTTAGTGGCTGGGATTTTTTCCCACACTTTCTCACATCACTCCAGTAACAATTCATTACCTCTCTCTGTTCACTTTCCATAATTTATTCCATAATTTCCATAAGTGCTTCTCAGCACTTTGCATAATTTCTTACTACTTGTTTTTACCTATCTTCCCTACTAGAACATGCGCAGTATGAAGCCAAGGGCTATCTCCCCAACATTTAGCATTAGGATCTGCAATAGTGCCTCTCTGTAGTTTTGAATGGAAAGATAACTGGCTAAAATGAAAAAAAAAAAAAAAAGAGAAGCATAACTGCCCTTCATGGTGGATGCTGTAATGTAACAAAATTGGTTTCTCTGTCTTTGTGTGTGTGTTGTGACAGTCTAATCTGAAAACTTTAGCCTGCATCAGCCGTGTAAAATAAGTTCTGATTGGAAGTTTGCTTTTGCCCTTAATTCTAAGTCTATCCCACCTAAGTCCCTAGAGCGCAGTTCAAACAAACAAACAAACATACCACCCTCGAGTTGGATCCAACTCATAGCGACCCCTCCTTGGGTTTCTGAGGGGGTATCTCTATGGAAGTAGATTTCCCAACCTTTCTTCCAAGGAGCAGCTGGTGGGTTTGAACCGCCAGCCTTCTGGTTAGCAGTCATTTGCCTTAGGCACTATGCCACCAGAGCTCCCAGAGTACAGTTACTATATTATTACAGAGAGGAGGATAGAGCAGGGGTTTTCTAAATTCCTTCCTCATTTTTACTGTTTAGGTTACTTTCATTATATACTGTTATGAAATTTGCTACCAATTCTGTTACTGGTTTCATGCATTTCAATCCAATTCCATTTAGTACTAACACTGCACTGAGTTCCACGAGCTTCTGACATATTATTTGAAAACAATTTACTATGCATATAAGGTAGTTTATATTCTGGTGGTAAGCTTATACTTATGTGATTTTTTCCACATACCATCTTTATTCTTTTGGTCCCACATCTTTATTCTTGAATTTAACCTACAGAAATTGGGCAGTGATCCTTGGTAGTTTTTATTTTCTACTTGTTTCAATGCTCGTCTTATTACCATTCTAGTAGAATAAATTGGTAAGATCATGGTTATAGTTTTCAAATGAAAAGTGAACATAGAGATTATTTAATTAATAACCCTCATTTTACTAAGACTGATAAAATGGAAGTTACTTGTCCAACATCCTGTCAGTTATTGTGAGAGTCTTAACTAGCACCAGGTAGCCTGTGACTCTGTCATTTGTTTTTGAAACTACAGTTCAGGTCAACTCCGTGAGGTACATATTTATAGAGTACTGACAGTGTCAGAGGTCTGGTAACACAGTGGTTAACTGTTCAGTTACTAATTAAAAGATCTGTGATTTGAACCCATCCACCACTTCATGGGAGAAAGTTATGGCAGTCTGCTTCCATAAAGATTTATAGCCTCGACAACCCTATAGGGCAGTTACACTCTTTCCTATAGGGTCACTATTAGTTGGAATCAAGTTGATGGCAAGGCGTTTGGTTTTTGGTTTAGACTTTGTGTTGGCCACTGTTCTGATTGATGGGGATAGATGGTGCACAAGGTAAACATAGATATTACCCTCAAAATCTTACTATTTGCCTTGGGAGATAGACATAAAGCCATTATTTATGAGAAGGGTTGCAAAAGTTGAGGCATTGTGCTGAAACCTATCACAAGCCAGGGAAATTTAATCTGCAGTCAGGTTCAGGGAAGCCCTCTTGTTAGAACTTGAAGTATGCATAGGAGTACGTTTGTCAATGAGGGAAGAACATTCTAGACCTGCTGAACAGCCTGTACAAACACCCAGGATGAACAGATGGTGGGTGAGAGGAACTCAGTGAAGGCCAGAAGGAGTATAGGGAACAAGAGAAGGAGAGCTTGAGATAAATAGGTGAACATCTGATTTTGAAGGTCTTTATAAACCATGGCAAGGATTCGTTTGACTTCAATGGAAACCTTTGCAAAGTTTTAAGCAGGGGAGTGGCTACACTTGGAAGTTATTTAATCATTCTAACATCATGTTATCATGTTATTCTCAGT